TTCTTCTGCCTCAGCCTCCCTGGGAGCTGGGATTACAGGTGTACGCCACAACGCCTAGCTACGTTTCGTATTTTTTAGTACAGACAGGGTTTCCCCATGTTGATCAGGCTGCTCTCAAACTCCTGACCTCAAGTGAGGTGCCCGCCTCGCTCTCCCAAAGTGCTGGGATTACAGGTGTGAGCCACCATGCCCAGTTTCTTTTTAGTTTCTTTATGAACTTCCATACTTTTCTGCATAATGGCTGTACTAATTTACCTTCCTACAAACAGGGTACCAGGATTCTCCTTTCTCTACCATCTTGCCAGCATTTTTTTCCCTGTATTGCAGATAAAAGCCATTTTAATGGGGTGAGATGAAAATTCATTGTGATTTTTCATTTGTATTTCTCTGATGATGAGTGATACTGAACACTTTCATACACATGATGGCCATTTATATGTTTTGTTTGTGGAGAAATGTCTTCATGTCTTTTGCTCATTTTTTAGTTAAATTATTTGTTTTATTGAGTTATGTGAGCTTCTTGTATTTCTAGTTATAAATCCCGTCTCAGATGCATAGTTTGCAATTATTGGCTCCCATTCTGTGGGTTGTCTCTTCACTTTGTTGGTTATTTGTTTTGCAGTACAGAAGCTGCTTAGTTTGATATAATCCCTGTGGTCTGTTTTTTGCTTGATTACTTGTGTTTTTGAGGTTTTAAACAAAATGTCTTTTCTCAGACAAATGTCCTGAAGCATTTCCCCAATATTTTCTTCTACGTGTTTCATAGGTTCAGGACTTAGACTCATGTATTTAATCCATTTGGATTTGACTCTTCTGAATGGTGAGAGGAAGAGGTGCAGTTTCATTCCCTGCATGCAGATAACCCGTTTTCCCCACATCATTTATTGAAAAGACTGTCCTTTCCTGATTGTAGGTTCTTGACACTTTCGTCAAAATGCATTGGATTGGCTGCGCATGGTGGCTCACACCTGCAATCCCAGCACTTTCAGAGGCCAAGGTGGGTGGATCACCTGAGACCAGGAG